ACGCCCGCCACCCCCAGAGGCCCCGGCCCCCGCTGTCGGCAGCCGCTGGTGTGGCCAGGGCTTCCAATCTGGGAGGCAGCGTAGGGAGCGGAGTGGACAGCTGCTGCTGAATGCTGGTTCTCCCTGCACCTCCCCTGCCGCCTGTGTGTATCGGGGCCAGCTGCCATGTCTCCTCATCTGCTGAGGGAGAGTGAATGCCCTAGGGGTCGTCGTGCTCTGTGTGGTGGTCTGACCCACAGTGAGGGCTCTCAGAGGTGTCCCACCCCTGTAAAAAGCTATCCCTGGTGATGCCCCAGTAGGAGCTCCCAATCCCTCCTCGTAGACCACCCTCGACCTCCAAACTGAAGGGGATGTTACTCAGTTTCAGGCCCCAGCAGCCATAGCACTGGTGGGTTAGGGGGAACGCGTTGAGGCCACACTTAGTCATGTTTTGGCATCTGGCATGGTTTTACCACATTCTGTTCTTTGGAAAGGAACAGATAATTAGCTGCTAACCATAAGGCCCATTTCCGAAGGCTTACTTAGTGCAGGAGTCTCCTGTGTAGGCCCCCAGGAGTCGGGTGGTTCTCTGCACTCAGCCTTGTGAGACCAGTCTGTCCTGGTTGGAGGCTGGCCTTGGGCAGTGGTGCACGCACTCATAGGGCAATGCCTTGCACTCTGCCCAGTGCCCAGGGGCTGGCCAGGCTTTCCCTGGGCCGCCTGTTTGGGCACCTGGCCAGGCTCCCAAGACAGGTGCCTCTCAACTCAAGGCTGTGGTGTGTGCTTGTAGGACACTGGGGACACCCTGGGCAGTGTCCTCCGGGGCTTCTTTACTATCCGCAAGCGGGAGCCAGGTGGCCGGCTGCCCACCTCCTCCACCTGCTTCAACCTGCTCAAGCTGCCCAACTACAGCAAGAAAAGTGTCCTCCGGGAGAAGCTACGCTACGCCATCAGCATGAACACAGGCTTCGAGCTCTCCTAGCTCCTGGTCTGGACCTGTCCACCTATCCTCGAGGGCTCCTGGGGTTCCAGGCCCCTTCAGCTCCCAGAGGTGGGGGTGACATCGGCCCCTAGGTCCTCTTGATAGCCATGAGACTCCCCTGCAGCCTCAAGAATTTTCGATGCACCTGACAACACTATGCAGCATCCACTGGGTGATGCTGACGGGAAGGAGCTGTTGAAATAAACCTCCAGATTCCTCCCACATCGGTCCTTCTTTCCTGAAGCTCAGGCCTGGCAACTGCAGAGGGGCTTCTTTTTGATAGTTTGGTCTTTTCATGACTCTTTCCTTACCCCCATGAGTGAGCTGCATATGAACAAGTCCCAGGGACTCAGAGTGGTTTTCATGACGTGGGTCTGAGTGCACGAAGCCTGCTACGCGTGAGTCTCTCCTTCCGTTTCTGAAAACTCTTTACTCAGGTAAGGCCTTGCCAAGCCACTATGCACCCGACAAAGCCTCTGCCTCCGTCCCATTCACAGCAGCCCCTGCCCAGACAGCCATGGCCGCTGCTGCCCTGGCAAGCCAAGGCACCGGCTGGGGAGGTTGCAGAACACTGAAGTCCAGGGCCCCGCTGCCCCCTCGAAGCCACACGTTCCACACAGCAGCCGCTCCCCTTGCTGAGTCTTCACCCGGCCAAGCTGCCAGGGAGCCTCCTGGCTGGTTCCCATCCTATGCGTTCACATTGGCATCCTGGTTTGGGAGAGAAATCCCTGGGCCCTTAAGAGCAGCTGTTTCCAGAGCCCACTGTTCCCAAAGGGGCAGCTGCCTCTCCCCTGCTGGTTAGCTCCTAGAACGAACACGAGCCCAAGGTACCTGGCCCGCCTGGGCAGTGGCTTTCCTCTGCACCTTGCAAAATCCCAAGACCCTTGTGTCCTGCCTCCTGTCCTTCCTCACACAGGGAAGCGGGAGCCTTGCACTGACAGAGGTTCACGAGGTGAAGGAACATATTCTCTGGGTTGGTTTTCTGCTCCTTTCTTTACATTTTTTTAAATGTTTTTTCTCCCAACCCATCGTGATGCTCTGCCCTAATTTTTCACCTTTACCATGAGACCTTTACCAGCAATCCAGGTAACTGAGGCAAAGGCCCACGGAGCAGTCTGTGCGGACCACCATCCACCCTCTCCCACCTCACCATGCTCTTTTTGCATCCCCTCTTCCAAGATCCAAGCCAGGAGTGCCTGGTTCCTCCTCTGCTCTTTGGGCCAGCTTAGGCACAGGGCTCCTTAAATCAGCTGCCTTCCAGGCAAGACCTAGCTCCCTGGCCGCCTCGGAGGGTTTCAGCTGGGTCCTAGTTCCCCCTTGGCTTAGAGCCCCTGGACTTCTGGAGACAAGAGTATATTCTTTACTTTGAAGGAAAGATGGCAAGGAATTTGAAAACAGGAGTTTATTAATATGCTTACTGTTCAAGATTTGTTAGTAGCCAATGACCTCTCTGGGGACTTGCCACTTTCTTTAAATGCTGGATTACTTTGAAGATTTCTTCTGAACATGTGTGCACGCACTGAGCAGGCTTGTACGTATATGCTGGGGCCTAAGTGACTGTCAACCACACGAGGAAGAGTGACACCATCTTGATTTTTATTACCCGAGTATCAGAGCTGGTGGGGGACTGTGGTGAAGAAAGTGGTTTATAAGCACCAGTATCAACTTGACCTGTGGTTTTGGTGTTTGCTTTTATTTGACGAGGAGGGGTAGTTTGTAATTTCATTTAAATGAATTCTTTTTCACCAGTTGGAGATATTGCACTATCTAAAACACTGAACCTGTACATGTATAGCTGGTGTTCACACACACCTTGATGGCTCTTGATGGCACTAAGAAGTCGTGAGGTTTTCATTTTGTTTTTGTAGATAACTTATGGATTAAGACATGACTGAAGGCTTTATTAAATTTGTACATCAGCACACAATGTCTGCATTCTGCTTTTTATCCAGCTGTGTGCCTGGAGGGCTCAAGACTCGGCATGTGGGGCTGAAAAACACAGGCTTCTGATGGAAAGAAGATACACAGGTGATAGAACAGACACTCTGGCCTCGGTAGCCAGAGTTCAGAGTTGTTGACAGTTGGCCGTTCGAGGGGACCAAGGGTCCAAGTTTACTTTGATACAAGGAAAAAGGGGGGGAAAAAAAAAAAGACATTCATGCACCTTTTTTCATGGTGTATGTCTTCCATGAACTTTTTGAAGACCTCGTGTATTTGCTTCTGATTTTGCTTTCAGAAATAACACATTTCAACTGAGCACCCTCCATAGGCCTGTCCCTTTTGCCCCTTCCCAGACAGCCGTCACCCTGGATCAGGTGTGTGTTCTCTGCAGTCTGTTTCACAGTGCAGTGGCTTACAAAAGCAATATGAGCACTGAAAGAACGCCAGGTAGTTTGGAAGTGTAAGAAGTAAAATTGTACAGCCATCTCTGGGGGTGTTCCGCGTTCCTCCCCACAAAGGATTCTATTTGCTGTTATCCCCACCGGAACACAGCCCTTCTCGTTCTGTTAAACTAGCCCGTATTTCCCACGAAGGAGAACCTGTGTCAAACCTGCTGGTGTTTCCAGCTCCGCCTTGGGTGCTTTTCCCCTCGGCCTTGGCAGCCGCGCCATCCCTCTGAGTTCTCACTTCACGGGGCCTTGTGCACGTGGTGCTTCCATACCACTGAAGGAGAGAACCACCGCAAGCCCCAGACACAAATGTGGTAGCCTTTGGTAGCCTCCCGTGTGATGCACACCCGCCTGGACAGACGAGAGCCTTACTCTGCAACGTTGTGGCTTTTACTTTCAAGTTATCGCTGCTAAAGGAAGTTTGTCTTTATAACTGGGAAAACGAATAGGGTCTTTTTGATTATCATTAAAATGAAAATACAATTTATTTTTCCATTTTTAGGTTTTTGCCAGAGGGTGTGTGTGCTCACCAAAGAGAGACAAGATAGAGGGAAAGGGAGAAATCCCTGCCAGGAGGAATGGCCATGCCACAAATCCCTTCTCCTCCATTCTCCTCTCAGGATTTTGGGCACACATGCTGGCATTATTTCCAAGTCACCAGATCCAGGGCCTGAACTGCAGTCAACCATGTGGGAGTCCAGCACCTTAATCACCACGCCACCTGCTGGCCCCATGAAAATACAGTCATAATATGCCGACAGAAGAACCCCGCATCTCTGACCCCAGAGAAAGGGGACCAAGGGTCCAAGTTTACTTTGATACAAGGAAAAAGGGGGGGAAAAAAAAAAAGACATTCATGCACCTTTTTTCATGGTGTATGTCTTCCATGAACTTTTTGAAGACCTCGTGTATTTGCTTCTGATTTTGCTTTCAGAAATAACACATTTCAACTGAGCACCCTCCATAGGCCTGTCCCTTTTGCCCCTTCCCAGACAGCCGTCACCCTGGATCAGGTGTGTGTTCTCTGCAGTCTGTTTCACAGTGCAGTGGCTTACAAAAGCAATATGAGCACTGAAAGAACGCCAGGTAGTTTGGAAGTGTAAGAAGTAAAATTGTACAGCCATCTCTGGGGGTGTTCCGCGTTCCTCCCCACAAAGGATTCTATTTGCTGTTATCCCCACCGGAACACAGCCCTTCTCGTTCTGTTAAACTAGCCCGTATTTCCCACGAAGGAGAACCTGTGTCAAACCTGCTGGTGTTTCCAGCTCCGCCTTGGGTGCTTTTCCCCTCGGCCTTGGCAGCCGCGCCATCCCTCTGAGTTCTCACTTCACGGGGCCTTGTGCATGTGGTGCTTCCATACCACTGAAGGAGAGAACCACCGCAAGCCCCAGACACAAATGTGGTAGCCTTTGGTAGCCTCCCGTGTGATGCACACCCGCCTGGACAGACGAGAGCCTTACTCTGCAACGTTGTGGCTTTTACTTTCAAGTTATCGCTGCTAAAGGAAGTTTGTCTTTATAACTGGGAAAACGAATAGGGTCTTTTTGATTATCATTAAAATGAAAATACAATTTATTTTTCCATTTTTAGGTTTTTGCCAGAGGGTGTGTGTGCTCACCAAAGAGAGACAAGATAGAGGGAAAGGGAGAAATCCCTGCCAGGAGGAATGGCCATGCCACAAATCCCTTCTCCTCCATTCTCCTCTCAGGATTTTGGGCACACATGCTGGCATTATTTCCAAGTCACCAGATCCAGGGCCTGAACTGCAGTCAACCATGTGGGAGTCCAGCACCTTAATCACCACGCCACCTGCTGGCCCCATGAAAATACAGTCATAATATGCCGACAGAAGAACCCCGCATCTCTGACCCCAGAGAAGCCTGTGGAGGAGCATTTAGGTGGAACACAGTTTGAGGAATGCTGTCTCCCTGGTGTCATTTGAGCAGCAAAGCTACCAGCTGTCTCTGTCCTGCTTATTGAGTGGACACTGGATTGCTGAAAGTGCATGACAGGCCAGGGATGGGTGGGAAAGGCATAAATTCAGGGCTCCCTACAGTCTCGGACTTACTTCCTGGAAGCCCCAAACTGTTCAGAGCAGCCGAAGAGCTGTGAGAAGTAGCTTATTCTGTGCACTTTTCCGAGAAGCAGAGCATGGGCTCTGGAGTCTCAGAGATGTGTGTGCAAACCCTGCCCTTCCTCCTCGTGCCTCAGTCACAGAGTCCACCTCGCTGTGCGTCCGCTTCCTTATCTGGGGACCGGGAGTTTGGATGCTGCCTGAAGGGGGTGTGAGAATTCAATTAGGTAATACGGAGGTCAGCTCAGTTCCTGGCATTGAGTAAGCGTGTAGACATTCAACCTCTTCCTACATTTCCTCACTGAGGCCCTGTGATTAGGCTTCCATCAAGCCTTTGGAGCAGCTTCTGCTGCTGTTTCCAGTCGCAGAGATGAGAAATTACCCGAAGAAAGGTCGTCTGTGATCTCTACGGAATGTAGGCAGGGGAAGCAGAAAGGCATGATCCCTCCCCAAAACTGCCCATGGGGCTTCCCCTGGATGGAACCGTACACAAGCAAAGAGTAGTAGCAGAAGATTCCAGCCAAGGCGTTTCCAGGCTGTGAGGCTCCTTGCTGTGGTCCCCAGCACCACCCACACACCTGGCGTTTGATGTAGGAGAGATTGCACTGCCGCCCAGGCTGCATCCACAGTTCTCCCCCACCTTTGGAGTGCAGTCAGAAGGAGATGACTTCCTCCCCAGTTCCTCACTGTCATCGCCAGACAGCTAACGTGTGTGGAGATCACACGCCCAGCAGATGGGGCCTGATGGCAGAGCCCCGCTGAGCGCTGCCACGCTCACTGGGCACTAGAGGGAGCAAGGGCTTTGTGCGCTGCAGCTGGGTTCACGTCCCAGCTCGTGGAGCTGAGGTTCCCTCCACGAAGTACGGACTGCAGCCCCCACCGTGCAGTGTTGGCTGTAAGCAGGGAGAGACGGCCTGAAAAGCCCCATTCCGTGCCATCTGTGGATAGCCAGTGACTCACAGCTGCTAGAACCATCATTATTTTGTTCCAGAGACCAAATCTACATCCTCCCTGGAGTTATCTGTGCTTTCCAAACTCCTTGCTAGGAGGAGGTCGCTGACTATACCAGGACGTCCCCAGGGGCTTCTGCTGGGCTTCCCTCTCTGCTCAAGTCCTGGCTATCCCCAGAGTTCCACCAAGCACTCTATGTCACATCCCCCTCACCTAGGGAATGGCAGCCACGTTCACTTCATGCTTTTCTGAGGCCCGGACAGTCGGGTGGTGTTGGAGCCATAGGAAGACAAAGGCTTGAGCTTGTGCGCGCGGTGGTGGGGGCCTGCCAGTGCACAGATTCCCCACCAAGAGCGCCAGGCTGCCAGAGTCCACCGTGACAGCAGGAGGAACTCTCTGAAGATGATCCCCGCATCTCTGACCTCAGAGAAGCCTGTGGAGGATGCTGAAAGCATAAGCCCCACTGCCTGCCAAGAGTCCCCGCTCCTTGACTGCACCAGGCTGCGAACAGCGATGTGTCTGCCCAAGGTCTGTGTGCAAGCCTCCAGGTGGCCTGCCCTCTCTGAATGCCTCTAGAGCTACTCTCACGGAAGTGGCCTTCAGACCCAGGTGTGTGAAGGGGAATGTTGTCAGCCTGGCCCTTCCTCTCACAGAATCCCAAGCCAGCGGCCTCATGCTATTATTTTACAGCAAGGATGTTGCCACTGTGAACAGCATTGTTTTGGATAGGGGTGCATGCCCTGAAAAGCCCCAACCTGTGTGGTCAGGAGGAGCACAAACCAGCTGCTGGTCTGGACAGAGCAGCTCCAGGAACCCATGCAGGCAGTACGACAGATAGGGCCCGTGGGGTCCAGAAAGCCAGCAGTGACTGGTCTTCCCCCTCTGCTGGGGTCACGTGAACCCTTGTCTGCATCCGTCTGGCCTCTATGACCCTATGGGCTTCCTCTGAGGCCACCATCCTAGCAGCTACACAGGCTGTACTCCCAGCCACGCCTGCATCCCTCAGACCCTGTTCTTCACTCACCTGTCTTCCTGGCACTCCAGAGGCCCTGGTGGAAGTATTCGCTGGACAGGACCTGCTTTCTGTCTCCCGGAAGGCCCATCTTGCTGGGATCTCAATGTCCTGAACGTCGTGTGCCACTCTGGTACGAGAACTGGTCTTCCCCAGGCTTCCCCACTCTCAGGGGAGCAAGCTCCTCAGCGCTCCGCTCAGGTAGGGTCTGGAGCAGCACCTGCTGAGCATTCATGGACACACGAGCCACTGGGGAGGCTTGGGTGGGACTCAGGAACCCACGTTCCTTATAGGGCTCGCAGGTACTGCCGACACACCACAGTGCAGACCCTGCTCAGGCCCCGCGGGGAGCCTGGAGGTGTGGAGCTGGAGGTAGGGCAGCTGGGGAGGATTGTCTTGCACACTGGGCTTTTGCAGTCACTGGGCGCAGTCAGGCAGAGAGCTGGACTGCAGCAGAGCAGTCTCGGGGTGAGGCAAAGCTGCTGCCCGAAGTTGGGGTG